CCTTTACCTGACCGCTTCCGTCCTCCCTCCGTCTCTCTTTATCTCCCTTCCGTCCTTTCCTTTCCTTCCCTGCCATTCCCCTACCCTTCTTTATTTAGTTACCTTTCTTATTAACTCCTCTCTCCTCTTCAATCTCTATCCTCTCCCTCTTCCTCCTCTCTTCTCCCTCCTCCTTCTTTCCTCTTCCTTCCTCTCTTCCCTCTCCCCTCTTCCCTGTCCCTCCTCTCCTCTCTTCTCCCTCCTCCTTCCTCTCTTCCCTCTCCCCTCTTCCCTGTCCCTCCTCTCCTCTCCCTCTCTCCTCTTCCCCTCTCTCCTCTCCCCTCTTCCCTATCTCCTCTCCCCTCTTCCCACCTTCCTTTCTCCTCTCCCCTCTTCCCTCTCTCCTCTCCACTCTTCCCACCTTCCTTTCTCCTCTACCCTCCCCTTCTCCTTCCCTCTCCCTTCCTCCTCGCTTCACCACGACACTTTCTGCTGCTTCATGTCAGCCTGTGGCCTCCCCGTAACCAGATGGCCTGCAGTCTTGGGTCTTTTCATGCATTGATCGCTTGTGCTAAACAGTCCCGCTCACAAAAAAATAGTCCCGTAAGCAGGAATGGCATAAAAAAGTTCAGGTAAAGAAAACAAAACAAAACAAAACAGAAATAAATAATGACAATAACATGTTGCTACGACTTGAGGCTACAGTATTATGAAATTTATTAAATGAAGTCGATTTGGTCAGATTATGATAATCAAAATAATAGATGAAACAAAAACTGCAAAACTATTTAAGCACAGATCTAATTTAGATATATACATACTTCGAATAAACCAGCATAAATATAGAAAGTAAACAAAACCCATAAAATCAAAACAAACAAAACTATAAATCAAGCCAGAATGGAGGGGGAGGGGGACCACTAAGGAGACCTTCCTCCGTACCCCCTCCCCCCCGCCTCCTACCCCTCCCCACCCTGGCAGACGAGGCGGAAGACGAGTGCCAACACCACCCTGGGGTCTATCCTACCCTGGGGGAAGAGGAGGGGGAGGAAGGGGGGGGGGGAGGAGAGGGGAAGGGACCTTCTGACTCACCCCCAGAGCACGCTACAACATCTGAACCTCCTGAACTATTCACCCTGACGGACACTATCATTGTTTGTGTTTTAAGCCTACGGGACAAATCATCCCCACATTTCACTTCCTTTTGTACCCCCCCCCATAGGTCCTTTCGCCCGGCATGTGAATTTCTCTTTGTTTCCTCTTTTCCACAGACTCTTCTTCGCTCTGGCTCAAATGAAATACGTCCCTGGGTGTTTACGATCTTGAGTGTCATCGAAGAGCTATCGAATTTAGGATTTTTTCTTTTGTTGAGAAAGGAGGGGATGAGAGGGAGATCGAGAGGGAGATGGAGAGGGAGATGGAGAGGGAGATGGAGAGGGAGATGGAGAGGGAGATGGAGAGGGAGATGGAGAGGGAGATGGAGAGGGAGAGGGAGAGGGAAAGGGAGAGGGAGAGGGAGAGGGAGAGGGAGAGGGAGAAGGAGAGGGAGAAGGAGAGGGAGAAGGAGAGGGAGAAGGAGAGGGAGAAGGAGAGGGAGAAGGAGAGGGAGAAGGAGAGGGAGAAGGAGAGGGAGAAGGAGAGGGAGAGGGAGAGGGAGAGGGAGAGGGAGAGGGAGAGGGAGAGGGAAAGGGAGGGGGAGGGGGACAGGGGAAAAGGGAAAGAGGAGAGGAGAGGAGAGGAGAAGAGAGTAGGAGAGGAGAGGAAGGGAGGGGAGGAGAGGAGAGGAGAGGGAAGGAGAGGAGAGGAGAGGAAGGAGAGGAGAGGAGAGGAGAGGAGAGGAGAGGAGAGGAGAGGAGAGGAGAGGAGAGGAGAGGAGAGGAGAGGAGAGGAGAGGAGAGGAGAGGAGAGGAGAGGAGAGGAGAGGAGAGGAGAGGAGAGGAGAGGAGAGGAGAGGAAAGGAAAGGAGGAGGAAGAGGAAAAAAGAGAAAGGGAGGGAGACAGGGGGAGAGGGAGAGGAGGTGAGAGGAAGAGAAAGAGGAGGAGTAAGAGGAAGAAAGAGAAAGAGAGGGAAAGGGCGAGGGCGAGGGCAAGGGAGAGGAAGAAAGAGTAAGAAAGAGAGGGAGACTGTTAGTAAACTCACGCCCACGCTGCCATCGGACCACCACCACACCCAATCTAACCACACCCACCATAGGCTAATTTAAAATAAGAAAAAAAGCGCTCCATAAATATGATAACGCAGGGAAGACCCGCCCAATATCTACACCAGCTCCCGCCCACTTTTTGTCTACATTTCCCTCCTCACTAAAACAATATTTTCACCCAAGTTTTTACGGCAAAGAGAATAAACGTATCAAATTGGTCAATATCTTCTCTTGTCTCTTTTCGTTTCCCACTTTTCTCCCTCCTTTTCGGGACTCTCCTCCTCTCCTCTTCCACCTTTCTCCATCAACATAGCTCCCTTAATGTTTAATCCTTCTTCCCTTTTCTCTATCATTCTCTTCTCTTTCAGTAATTCCTT